GGCGCTAATAGCGCGAACTTTACCAAAGTCATTCACTCCACAACGAAGGATGCCAACCGCCATTAAATCCTAAAAGAAGAAGAAGAAGAAGAAGAAGGAGAGAATCTCGCGGCTGCGCGGTGGTTAGTAGACGTTTGTCACTAGATTCCGTACAATATAATTAATTCTATGAGAAAACAGCCCTGTTTTGAGATTTCATTACATACACGTAATTTATATAACAAATTCTGCAATTTTCAAAACAAATACAGGGGACTGTCGCGTAACGACTGAGAAGTTTGATGCACAAGGATAGTCAGAGAAGATCACGGTTATGTGTAGCAGCAGTCAAGCTGCCAGCGAGTCACTGCAGTGAAGTGGAACTAAATGCGACTCGAGTTACAGAAAAGAGAGAAAGACAGATCTGCAGCTTCACAGCCAGGCTCTGAGTCTGCTTGCTTGTGTCAGGAGTGAAAACGTGGCACAGATCTCGCCAAGATGGAGTTTGCTGCGATCTTTGCACTATCACTACTGATAGGTGCGCTGGTTGTGTTAGTGGCCGTGGCTGTTGGCAGACAGAAAGGCGAATTATCTGAGCAGAACGAACAGAAGAAAGACACCAGTGCACCGGGTAAGCGTGTCTCTCTCACACCTGCCAGCAACTTGAAGTTGATTTCTTGTCACTGACCTAACGGTATTTTAAATTAGTTAATGTTTATGTTTTAAAGTAGTTTATTTTTATGTCATATGTCTCCACAATAAATCTGCTGGATAATGTTTCAGTGGAGGAAAATGCAGCGAAAGCTTCTTCCAAAAAGCAGAAGCATCAACAGCGCCCCCGTAAGGAGAAACCGCAGCAGCACACATTCACACACAAGCTACTGGCTTCCTCTTTAAAGGTGATTCCTCAGATATAATAAACACATTTACTGTCAAGGCTTGTTACAGTAAAGACATTTATAATGTTTTCTATAAAACTGTTTTCAACGTTGATAATAATAAAAAAATGAGCAGCATGTTAGAATGATTTCTGAAGATATAGTTACATTAAAGGCTGAAGTAATGGCTGCTGAAAATTACATTTTAAAAAACACATTTATACAAACCTTGAGCCCCTGCTTCATAATAGTTATAATTATAATTGTTTACTCATATAATCCTATTTCAAATATCAAGATTTCAAAATGTTGTCTTTAGGTGCATGTCAAAGTCTTATATATTGATATTTCTGTGCATTTCATTTCTCCTTTCTAGAATCACAGTGGTAATGTCACCTGTCTGGATTTTAGTAGCAATGGCAAATACCTTGCGTCTTGCTCGGATGATCGTACCATCAGGATCTGGAGCACTAAAGACTTCCTGGATCGAGATCACAAGTGCTTGCGGGCCAACGTTGAGTTTGACCATGCCACACTCGTCCGCTTCAGCCCAGACTCTCGGTATGTTCGGCTTCATTAATAACACGCAGTTCAATTAGGTTAAATCTAACAGTTTTCTGTAACTGTTCTTGCTGCTGACTGGTTTGTGTTCGTCCCTAGAGCGTTTATCACTTGGCTGGCTAATGGAGAGACCATTCACATCTATAAGATGATTAAAAAGGATGATGGGACATTCAGTTTCAAAGCTGCCTCAGAGGATTTCCCTCAGAAACACAAGGGGGTCGCAATCAACATCGGAATTGCAGAGACAGGTCGGTGGACTCCAGTAATTAAATGCAGCTAAACTAAATGGGATGAACATAGGCTAAGCAAGCTTACGTAAGACTTAAATAGTAATTGTATATTCTGTTTTCAGGCAAATTTATAATGTCTGCCTCTGTTGACACCACCATTGTGATCTGGGATCTGAAGGGAGAGGTTTTAGCTACTATCAACACGAATCAGATGACCAACTCGCATGTTGCTGTGTCACCGTGTGGAAGGTTTTTTTTTTTTTAAACCTCTAGTCTTTAAAGGGCTCATATCATATATTTTTCATTTCCTGCTGATATATACACTTATAATGTTAGTGAAATGTTTTTGCAGTAAAAACAGTCTGAATTGACATTTTTAATGTAGTTAAACGTGTTATTTTTCTCTCACTTCCGTTATCTATCATACGCGGATTCGTTCCGGCGGAAGGCATATGACGTATGCACAGCGTGTGCGCCTCTGAGATATGCTAGTCAAGATCAAAGACAATTTTTAATATAACTCTGACTGGATTTGTCTGAAAGAAGAAAGTCATATACACCTAGGATGCTTCGAGGGTAAGTAAAACACAAGCTAATTTTCATTTTTGGGTGAACTAACCCTTTAATGTCCTTTCTTTGATGAAACCCTCTTTGCAACACAAAGAGTGACAGAGTCATAAAAAGATTAATGTGCCGCATCAGTGGTAATAAAGAATATGGTCGTAATGCAGATATAAATGAAACGGATTGAAAACCTCTATTTTTTTCCTTCTCATAAGGTTTGTTGCTTCCTGTGGTTTTACCCCTGATGTGAAGGTGTGGGAGGTTTGCTTTGCTAAATCAGGGGAGTTCAAAGAGGTCGCCCGTGCATTTGACCTTAAGGGACACTCGGCTGGGGTTTACTCCTTTGATTTCTCCAATGACTCTCGGAGGCAAGATCATCTCATCTTTTACCATTGAGCAAAATATATAATAATATAAATATATTTATATAAATAAAATCATAAATACATAACTAAGTCATATCAATTAATATATAATATAGTAATACTATTATAGCATGTATTAATGTTTTGAATGATCTTAAATATTTTGAATTGGATTTTATTTTAATTTTAGTCTTTTTTTATTTTTTGTCAGTTTTTTCTGTAATTTAAGTACTTCAAATTAAAATAAAAACTTGTTTCAGTCAGATTTGTAAGATTTTCGTCTTATATTTATATTTTATTTCATCTTTTTGAATTAACAAAACAATTTTATTTGTTTTAGTTAACAAAAGCAACAGTTATTAATTAGTGAACAGAGATTTAATGACGTGATTAAGATGTGTTAATATTTACTTGAGTCTGAACAGTGCAGAAACCTTATTTGAACTTTCCATTAAATTTAGATGTAGCTATATTTAATAACATTTCAGTCACTTCCATTTACAGAATGGTGACGGTTTCCAAAGACGGCACGTGGAAGCTGTGGGACACTGATGTGGAGTATAAGAAAAAGCAGGACCCATATTTGCTCCAGACCGTGCCATGTCAGGTGTCAGAGGGGAGCCGCATTGCCCTGTCTCCCGACGGTCGTGTAGTAGCCATATCAAACGGTTGTGATCTAGCCATGTACAGTGCCAGCACTGGTGAACTAGAGGAGGAGTTTCACGGTGTTCACAGCAAAGAGATAACCGACCTTAAGTTTGACATCAACAATCGTTTCCTAGTGAGTAGTGGGGACCGTGCCATTCGCGTCTTTCACAATGTAACTGGTTACCGTGCTGCCATCCAGGACATGCAGACCATGCTGAAGAAAGCCTCAAATGATGGAGTGCGACAGAGACTCCAGCAGCAGATAACAGATGCCCAGAATGCTCTGGGCACAGTGCTGAATGCAACAAAGAACTAAAAGCTGATTTGTTTTCACTGGAAATTTAGTCTGTTTTTGGTTTCAGTATTAAGTTGCTTTAGCATCAGGGCTCTACAGTGCGACAATTTCAGTCGCATTTGCGACTGAAAACTACTGCGTGCGACTATGAAAACATCCACCTCTGTACAAATTAATTTTAATACTGATTTCATTTGATTAGTAACTTATTCTTCTTATTCTACTTGTTCTTATTATGTGGTTTTAATTCGAATTTTTAAAAAGCTTATAAAATATAATTTTTTAAAAATTGGACATAAAAGATGACACTTTTAATAAAGTTAGAAAAATGCCATTACAAAGGTAAAAACAAAATTCCACTGTAAATCACTTTGAGTCAAATATCACCTCGTAATGGGAAAGCAAATTTTTGATTATTGATTAGAAGGTGCTCCTAAATTTTTGACTGTGCTCCTAAATTTTTTAAGTTAGGAGCACAAGTGCTCCTAAAAAGAAAAATAAGCGTAGAGCCCTGAGCATGCTGATTTTATTGAATAAATTGGGTGTTTTTAAGTGTTTGTCAATTACTTTTGTTCCTCTTTCACTGATTTTTCTACTGCCATCTCTTTGTGGCTTTTAAGGTGACATTTACACTTTTAAGGGGAAATATGTCCTACAAAGGCAAAATACAGTCATACTGAAATGGAAACACCCTTTTATTTACACACACACACACACACATATATATATATATATATATAATTTTCTGTTGATTGTTTTCATTATTCATTATTTCTCTAAATGAGCATAACTGAGCCAAACCTGCCTGACAAAAGACAGATCATAATCTGATAACTAAATTTTACAAATGTTTAGTCACTGTGTTTTGCCTTTGCACTTCATTATATTTGACTTTTTATAATTATGTCTACTTACAGTTGTGTGCATATTGAACTGGGAATATTTTATCATCAAAGAACCTTTAAGGAAGTGCTATCAGCTATTTTGAAATAATTAAAAGTATACAAAGTATATAAACAATTAAAATATATATGTTTATTAACTTTTTTTAAATCTAAATGTCAAAAACGCTCATATTTGCTTTTTTGTTTTATTACATTTTATCTTATACATTGCTGGCCTTAAGCTTGATTAACGTAAATAATATTTAACATTAACTTGAATAATCACACAACACATATTTATTCTTAATAAATATTAAGAATAATATCTTATCTCATCCCATCTTAATTCATCTAAAAATAAATAAGAACAGACCCAGAAGACTTTTAGTTTGAAATGAACTATGACCTTTTTGAGTTATATTAAAGAGTTTTGATTATAAATAAGTAAAAATTTTACAAGATGGGTTTGGGCCATCGGTCGTTGAGTGACATATATGACTAGCGGCTTTTTAATCTTATAATAAAGTTGCTATAAATTTAACAAACGAAACCACAGCAGCCACCTGTGCCCTCAATAAGTAGGTGGGACCTGTCAAGAAGCTCTGGAAAGTGGAGTCGTGAGTTCTCGCGATGCGAGATTAGCGAAGCCAGACTGCGATACCGACACGATTCCAGTACGAGTACTGATAAAATTCAGAAATGTCGGGTCGCTCGGTCCGCGCGGAGACCCGAAGCCGCGCTAAAGATGACATTAAGAAAGTGATGGCGGCTATCGAGAGAGTACGGAGATGGTGAGTATGACGGGCGGCGTCACAATACTTTGAAAGAGAGAAATGTTTTTCAAAAGAGAAACTTCAGTCGGAAAGGAGGAGGAGTTTTATAAGAGGATGCCGTTTGATTGACACAAGAGACAGCCAATGGCAGCGCGCTTGTCTTTGTTTTCTCATGGGACAAGTGGCAAAAAGAGGCGGATCTAGAGAGGACTTTTAAAAGGTTTCTTCATGTTCTGAAGAAGCGTATTTAGGACTGTCCGTAACCTTAAAAAAAAAAAAAACTTCTTTTTTTTAATAGTTTAGTAAGTATATTATTCAATTACTGTGCAAGAGTAATCCAAGCACATTCACTCAGGGTTTAGCCCAGCAAAAACCAAGCACTTTTGTGATTGAAATAAATGGGGATATTGGATAGGGTTCAACTCATCAACAAATGGACTTTGTAATCCCACATGTCCCGAAAAAGCAGCTCTTAGAGGAGCCTTTAAACTTTCTCCAAATGGAAACTTGATAAGTGCTTTTTTCTGCATGGTTGCATTTTTAACATGGAAACTTGATAGAGCTTTCAAGTCATGTATATGGGAAGCCTGTTACACAATTCCTCTATTTCAGGGAGAAGAAATGGGTCACAGTTGGAGATACATCATTAAGAATATTTAAATGGGTTCCTGTAGTGGACACAAAGGAGGTATGACAAATCTGAGATGATGATTTCTCTTGGTTTTAATTGTTTGAGAGTTCATTTTATACATTAGATCAACTTCTGTAAAGTAAAGGATTTTCCAAACTCCTTCACTATATTTACTGTATCTATAACCTGATGTCTTTTAGAAGGACAAGAGCAAAGTGTCTGTGGGTGGAGAGATCCAACGGAAAAATTTTCCCACAGAGGAGTCATCTGATAACTCTTCTGTACTGTTAGATTTTCAAGGTAAACATTTGCATTTCAAAGGCATAGTTCACCCAGAAATTAAAATTCTGCCAGAATTGTATTGTTTTCCTTCTTTCATGTCAAATTCTAATCTTCTCTTGGTTGCCTCCTGCCTTCTCAGATGAGAACAGCAACCTAAGTTCTCTGTCAGACTCCTACCTGCATAAAGCAGCTGCAGACAGCAGCAATAACTCCAGTCCACAGCTCAGTGAGCCGGTCAGCCCTGCACCTCAGAGTCTAGACTACCGTACAGATGACCCACAGCCGCCCACCCTCGGCCAAGAAATCATGGAAGGTGAGACTTATTTTTTAAGAGTTTGTGAGAGTTTAATGTTAATCTCAGAGCTGAAAGATTCATTAATGTAATTTATTATGTAATATTATATATATATTTAATATTTTGCATTTTTATGATATTTTATTGTTAACCTCTGAGTTGAGGGATTCATTATATTTTATTATATAAATATATTAACTAATTATTTTTATTTATCATTTATATTATATTATATTATATTATATTACTAATGATTTGTATTATTTATTAATTATGTATTATTTTATTATTTATAATTAAATTACACATTTCCAAAGGTATATCCAGTGTTTTATAAAGCTTGTAATTTTATGAATTTTGCTTAAATATTTAGTCATATTAACCTGAGATTGTTTGCCCTCTTTGTGTCATTGTGATTGTGATCTGAACAAATACATTATGCTCTTATCTCCAAAACTACACATTTCACAGAAGTTCACTGAAATCGTTCAGTCAGTTGACCCACTTTTAAAAATGATAACTTTTTTTTTCCTAGAGCCACTGCTGCAGTCAAGTGAGATTGCAGATGAGCCGCCAACACTGATCAAAGAAGATCTTTTACCCCTCACTGCTCAGGTACAAAACTAGTCAGAGGTTCTACATAATAAAGCATGAATGCTGGGACAGTTCCTCTGCCTTAGGCTGTGAACCTTGCTTTCTTTTAAATTCATGTTATTTTTAATTTTTAATTTTTTGTAGTGCTGTATATCAGAAACATAAAAAATACATAAATACCTATATATAATATTTAAAATATATAATTCATGTTTTTTGAAAATGTTTTGCTATTTATTTTACTATATTTTGTATTTATAAAATATTTTGTAGTATTTATTTGTTATATTATATTAAACCTTTTGTACTAATGAAATTAATAACTAATTAATAATGAATTGTTCCTTTTTCTCTGAGTACAGGAGGATGAGGACAGTTGTGGAGCCCCACCACTGAAAAGAATCTGTACCGAGCAGGTCTCGGTCATCCAGGCAGCCCCTCTTAGCTAACACACACACACACACACACACACACTGTACACTGGGCATTGATAATCAGTCAGACTGATCACTGACCTTCCTAGAACTGCTGCAAAAGACACAATTATGGACCAGACATCAAAAAAGCACTATATTTATTATCGCATGGGATCGCTTTGCAACATTTTAGATTTACAAACCTTTGCTTTCCCTTCATATCTCCCACAATATGCTTCCATTCAGGTCATGTCAGGATTTTTGAAGATCTCATAGTAGAATCTCTGAATTGTTATCTCCTACACCAATTCTGACATAACATGAATGATGCATTAATTCAACGTTAATAGGCCAAAACCAAAAAAAGCCAGACTATTGACTAGACATTCCTGTTTACAGTGAAAATGAATGAATGTACTATCACTATAAAGCCCTTCTTGTTGAAATTGCTGTTACAGTTATTATAATGATACTAGTTTAATTTTATTGTCATTAGAATGTGATGCTTGTTAAAAAAAGAAAGCCATAAACTAATTTCATGTTGACTGAAGGCTTAGCCATTATTGAAGAAAATGTCCTCCAAAACAAAGACAAATAACGAGTTAAATGATAAGGGTATTTGAAATATAATTGAACACATCACGCTTTACGCACAAATAAGCTCATTAGACAACACCATTCCCTTTTAATAAAAACAATGACTCAACATGAAGAGTGTCTTCAATCAAATTCAGTAAGTTTACACTTATATATAATATCTATATTTTCTGCTTGTAGATTCTGGTCTCAGGGTCTGTAGTGCCTCCTCTCATTTGTTGCAGTAATTGAACATTTACTCTTTTGTCTCTGTAGCACACCCCTAAAAATGCCTGTCTCTTATGCCACCTTTTATTTTTTGCACACTGGTCTATTGGGCACACTGAAGTTGATGAAGCAGTCGTATTGTTATTTGATGCAAATATCATTACAATTTTAGACATTTCAAGATCATTTTCAAGATTTATTTTTGTCATTATTCTTTAAAAATAATAATGTATGCTACCGTTCAAAAATGTGGGGTTTCAATAAGTTTTCTTGGTGAAGAATTTAATACCTTTATTCAGCAAGGGTGCATTAATATGATGAAAAGAGACATTTACAATGTAAAAAAAAAAAGATATTTGAAATGAATGCTGCCCCCCCCTTTTTATTAATCAGAAAATCCTATAAAAAATGTTTTAAGGTTTCTATAAAAATATTAAGCAGAACAACCTTGGTAATAAGAAATGTTTCTTGAGGATTTCTGAAGGATCATGTGACACTGTGAAGACTGGAATAATGACTGCTGAAAAATTCAGCATTACATCACATCAAATTACACTTTAAAATATATTCAAATAGAAAACTGTTGCTTTAAATTGTAATAATATTTCTAAAATATTATCCAAACGGAGATTCAGTATCTGTGGTGTTACCCAACGTTTGACCGGCATGTGGCGCTGAAACACCATTTTCATAAAAAAATAGTTATTACTTTCGCTCTTTTTTATTTTTTTATTTTTTTAATATATATATTAATATGTCCTCACGTATCATCATTGTATGTTTGAAATATCTGTTATCAACTAAATACATATTTTCCCTTCTGGTTGTATTTTAGAACTCCCTGTATTGATTTGGGCATATAGATTACACAGTACCTAGATGCCTGCAGCATTTTTGGCAATGCTGACTATGATGTAGTAGGTACTAGATAGGCAGCCAAACAGGTTATGAGACATAGCCAGTGTTTTACTCCAGAAGAGGGGATTGTATTTTACTCTAGTCAGTGACTGTCACTCCTCACCCGTCAGGTCTCTCAATAACTCACTCACTCAGGCGTTGAAAAACAACTCGTCTGAGCAGGATAACATCAGATAAAGCACAGGGAATATGGGAAGAGCTGTTAGACGTCGGACCATGCGTGAGGGATTTTGGAAACTTTGTATTTTCATGTTTTCCTTTCGTGCTTTTAAAGCTTCAGCAGCTATTTATCAGGTTCCAGTGAGACTGCAGCGCACAGTGTCGGAACACAACACTGGAGCAAACACACTCAGCAGGTAAACCTCTCACCGGCTGGAGTCTCTAGGTTTATCGAACTGATTGATTTAAAGCCTTATTATATTGCAGAATTATTGATTAAGGTCAATGAACTCGAAAAACTTTGAATAGTTTAACAATTCTAATATGATCTAATTCAACAGAATTTTATTTCTAGTGGCTTACAACTTAGCATGTGTACATATGTAAACATTTCTGAAACTTAATACATTCTTGAAATTGTGTGTGTGTGTGTGTCTATCTGTCTGTCTTTTTGTCTGTCATTCCATATATCTATTTGTCTGTTTTTTCTATCTATCTATCTATCTATCTATCTATCTATCTATCTATCTATCTATCTGTCTGTCTGTCTGTCTGTCTATCTGTCTGGTTATCTATCTATCCATCTATCCATCTATCTATCTATCTATCTATCTGTCTGTCTGTCTGGTTATCTATCTATCTATCTATCTATCTATCTATCTATCTGTCTATATGTCTGTCTGTCTGTCTGGATATCTGTCTGTCTGTCTATCTATCTATCTGTCTGGATATCTATCTATCTATCTATCTATCTCTGTCTGTCTGT